CGACCACAAATACCAGCTATTAAAGCAAATCCTGGAAGGAAAAATCGAAGGGAAAAAACGACCAGGACGGCCAAAAACGACATGGCTCAGTAACATCAAAACATGGCTACAATTAACAACAGCACAAACTCTACACGCCGTGCTAGACCGGGACCAATATCATCGTGAAGTCGCACACGCCGTTAGACAGCACTAAAGAAGAAGAAGGTTCTATCATGCTTACCCATAATCCCCCACAACAACGCTTCGTAAGTTCGTGTACAATGCTGATGTTTGCATTTAAATTGTGCCAGAATAACATCTGCAATCAAGCAGCATTTGTTTCAGCAGCCTGGCCACTGATGAGACCAAGACAGTTGAATCCAGCCCAGAAGTTTCTTGCTTAAACAAATGCTGCCGGATGATATTGGTCTGGATAGCCGATTATCCAAAACACACAAATTACGTCATATGTGAAAAAAATAGATTTTTGTTCATATATTCTTGCCCATAGCATGATGTTTAATTGGCAGTGGCTTATAGATCAGAATGAACCACCAAGCAGCAAGATCCTGAGTTGTATTCTAGATGCGAGTCACTGATGATGACACTGGATATTCAAGTGTAGTGAGTTGATGCTTTTAGCCCAGTCAGCAATGATTGAAATAAAAATCCCCCTAACAATAAATTACATTCTGTGCATCGATGGCTGCACAATAACAAGAATATTACATTTGGTGTTACATTTAATTTATCAAAAATCTCAGATCTGATCATTTTAAATATTGGTTTAACTGTGAAATGTACACGGTGCACAATGGATGCTTAATGCATGTGAATGTTGATATCAAATCACTGGAGTGGAGTCGAACTCTAGTCAACAGCGGTTGTGAACTCTTAGCTTTAGTCAACAGCGATTGTGACCTTTTATCTCTAGGCAACCGTGGTTGTGACTGCTTATCTTTAGTCAACAGCAGTTGTGACATCTCTCGTCAACTGTGGTTGTGACCTCTTATCTTTGCAGCCTCATCTTATCACAATTATTTATTTTGAGTGATATATAATTTTGCGTCAAACTAGCATGCAAATCATAACGAGAGGGGCCTTGTCTGTAAGACTGGTAGTTCACCACTGTTGATGTCTAAAATCGTCCAGAGTGTGCCTGTCTTAAAATAAATGCTGCAATAAGTATAACCCGTAAAAACTAAGTTTTTCACTATAAATCCTTTATATGCGTGGCGGCTAGAGTCCTCTCGTCCTCTAGCTTGAGATGGCTGCCACCTATGGGTCAGATGATTGCATTGCACCATTAAGCAATTGGTAATTAAATATAATATTTTTGTCCTAAAAAGTGTAAAATTTTGGAAAACATTTTCATGAACATTAATTGTCACGCACAACGAGTCTGTGTGAAAAATGTCAGCTCGATTGGATCACGGGAAGTGGGTTAAAAAACGACCGAAAGATTTGCACGGTCCTAAGCAAGCAAGCGAACTTAATATAAAGGATTTAAAAATGGTGCACTCCCAGAAGGCCATATGGCAAATGGGTTGTGTGTAAGACATATACATATTACGTGGACAGACGGATATATGGAGGAGACATTGACTTTACTTATTTTATTACCGTTGGGAAATATTTTGCATCAGATGTAACTGCTGTTGACCAAAGTTAGACTCCGTATAAACCGTCATGTGAAGTACAATTCATAGTGCATCATGTGTTGTGTCAGGTATTCTCCAAGCGTAACATTTTATCATCATATATTTTCATCATCATGTTTTGATAACCTGTCTATTTACAGGTATCAAAAAATCCCAGATGACAGATTTAGCTTTGTGCTTTACAACTTCAGTTTGGTGGATAGAGACTATGGGTTTGTGTAAGAGGAGAATACTTCATCATGTGAAATATAGCGCATGCTACACCATGCAGGCGTGTGCATCTTTGCAAACCAAAGCTTGCTTTCATGTTATGGGGGCTTTTGTGTGTGTGCGCTCGCTGTAGCAGAGGTCGCAAACGGGTTTTGATTCCTTACCCGTACTCAGCCGCACCAGGGTCGCAAATGGGTACCCGTACCCGTACCCGGCCGAGTACGGGTACCCGTTCCCTACCCGTACCCGTACCCTACCCGAAATGAGTGACAAACGGCTACTCACCAGTGACTCACGGCCTACCCGTACCCGTACCGGGCCGCACCAGGGTCGCAAACGGGTACCCGTACCCGTACCTGGCCGGGTACGGGTAGCCGGGTATCGGGTAGGGTACGGGTATCGGGTACCCGGTTGCGACCTCTGCGCTGTAGTGATGCCCTCATGTGTCCCTTTACCCCGCTGTGGTGCACACACGCACATTCTAATGCGATGATTCTCGGCTTTCACGGGAAAACATTTGACAGCGTGAAAAATGTAAATCCTTCTTTGGAGGTGTCAGGGTCTTGTTAATTTGCTTCTCTTACTCGACTCGCTCCGCACTCTGCATCGTTCTCTTGTCCAGCTCGCATCCTGGTCGACGGCTGATGCTTGGTTGCAAGCCGTGCCGTCGTTCTATCATACGCTGGCTTGGTTTCTACAATTGTCAAAGACTCGGAAGTTTGCGGGCGCGCGTTCGTAGCAAGTGAGTAGTTACACGTAAATTTCGTCTCATTATCCCTGTTTTATATCTTGTCAAATCCTACTTCTATGTTTAACTTGAGATTTATATATATGAAACGAAAATTAAGTGGGGCTCACCTACGCATGATTATTTTACGTAGTATAGCGTTCCGTAGTGATTAATATCTCATTTTTGTATGCACCATATGTATCTTCTTGGTTATTTCGGTAAAGTCACGTAGAAGGGAAATAATAAAATAATAAAAATTTTACATAATCAAATACAATTCTCACGACGTTTCGGCCACAACGCAAGCAGCCGTCCTCAGGTGAAGAACAGGTCTGTCTGAAAAACAGCGTCCCATTCAGACGCGTCTTTCCGACAGACCTGTTCTTCACCTGAGGATGGCTGCTTGCGTTGTGGCCGAAACATCTGTCGGAAAGACGCTGTCTTTAATAAGACGCTGTCTTTCCGACAGACATGTTCTTCACCTGAGGACGGCTGCTTGCGTTGTGGCCGAAACATCTGTCGGAAAGACGCTGTCTTTAATAAGACGCTGTCTTTCCGACAGCCCTGTTCTTCACCTGAGGATGGCTGCTTGCGTTGTGGCCGAAACATCTGTCGGAAAGACGCTGTCTTTAATAAGACGCTGTCTTTCCGACAGACATGTTCTTCACCTGAGGACGGCTGCTTGCGTTGTGGCCGAAACATCTGTCGGAAAGACGCTGTCTTTAATAAGACGCTGTCTTTCCGACAGCCCTGTTCTTCACCTGAGGATGGCTGCTTGCGTTGTGGCCGAAACATCTGTCGGAAAGACGCTGTCTTTAATAAGACGCTGTCTTTCCGACAGACCTGTTCTTCACCTGATGACGGCAGCTTGCGTTGTGGCCGAAACGTCGTGAGAATTGTATTTTATGATGTAAAAAAATTATTATTTTATTATTTCCCTTCTACGTGACTTTACCGAAAGAACCAAGAAGATGAAACCCTGCAGTCCCGAAAGCTTTAACTCGCAATTTACCATATGTATGTTGAACTTATCTCGCGCCCTTTGTAGCCAACTGTGCTCAACGCAGGTGTGGGCGAAGGACGACAAACTGAACACATTCATGTCCATTGCAAATGGGCAATCCGAGTATACGCGATTAGAAAGCACATCTCGAATTGTTTTGCTATCGATTTGTGATATGGGGTGGAGCGGTGGTGTTGACCCTGCACTCCTTGGTGGTGAATCACTTTTTAGACGCTTTTATTTCACTCACTCCGTCTGTTGTCGTATCCTCAAAAAATCTTGTAATTCAATTTTTACCAACTTCCCAATATGCTATCGAATGCAAACTTTGTATAGGTATGTCATACTGATGACAATACTATATTCTATCATTAAAATTTAAAAATATATATTTAAAAAAATATTTTTTACGACTATAATTATCCACGTTCAACTCACGTTGGCTGTAAATCACCACGGTCCCTTATGTTACGGCAAGCCGAGGGGAGCCACACCCAGGAGCGGGGGATGTGGAAGGAGGGGAGGGGCGATGGGGGAAGAGGGCAGGGGGAGGGGCAGCTCGGACAGTACATTTCATTAAAGCGTGTTTTTTTTAAAGTAAGTTTTTATATTTTTTTATTTAACCTCTGAGACCATTTTGCCAGTATCCAAAATGATAAAAAATAAGAATAGGTTCAACCTTCCTGGCAATAAAACATGTGTTAAGATGTCCAAACACCAACATAGAAACCGTTTGCAAGGCCTCAAGTCTGCATTAACCACCAAACTGATTGGCCGACACCAGAGACGGCCTTATTCGTGGCCTTGTCTCACTGCCAGTGTTAGACCAGAGAACGCCGAAAAGCGAAGAGTACAAAGACAATGTAAGTATCACAACACTTAAAGCTCGGCTCCAGCAGTTGGTGTAAGTCAATCAGTTTCAAGGACAATTCATATAATATCAGTGCATGCTTGTTTGCATGTTTTGCCACAAGCACATGTGTTTAATGCAGACTCGGTGCCTTGCAAAAGATATCTATTTGGTGATTGAACATCTTAAAACCTCCCGTGTTATTGCCAGGAGGGTAAAGCATATTCACAATCACTTTTTTCTTGCCCCCCCCCTACTCCCATACGACCTGGCTAACAGCGGCGGCGGGCGATATCTGAATTGGTCCTAGGACTCCCTCCCCACCCCCCTTCACCAACCCACATTGACCAGTGTGGGGAAATACGGTGTAGTGCTTAACAGGGAACCGACAAATGGCTGTACCATTACTACCAGAGATGACACCACGGCTGTATCGTTAAGAGGTGTGCTTTCTTGCAGAGACCCGAGGACATGAAAAACGCCGCTCAATGATATTAGCTCCTTCAGTTGTTTCGTCGTGGCAAATGTCTGTGCAACTCCGTCGTCGCTCACCAACAACGGAAGATGAATAACTCCACCAACGGTTCGAATGTCAGTTCCCCGTGCGTAGTCGACGAGCAATACAAGTACATTTACTTGCCGGTTGCCTACTCAATCTGCGCTTTCTGCGGGATAATCCTCAACGGCTTTGTGCTGTGGAAACTGACACTCAGAACCAAAAAGTGGAATTCCACCTCGATATTCATGATCAACTTGGCGGTCGCAGACTTCCTCTACGCCCTCTCGCTAATGTTCCTGGTCCACAGCTACGTGAACGAAGACGTCTGGATATTCGGGGACTTCATGTGCCGCATCGTGCGCTTTCTCTTCTACTTCAACCTCTACGGCAGCATCCTGTTCCTCGGGTGCATGAGCCTCTACCGCTACCTGGGCATCTGCCACCCGCTGTCCACGCGTAGCTGGCACAGGCGTAGGGTCACCTTCGCCATCTGCATGACCGTCTGGTTGTGCCTGCTGGCCGAGACGGCTCCGTACCTATACTTCGCGGGAACTTTGGAGCACGCCGGCGGGCAGGCCGACTGCTTTGACTTCGTGCCCGATCTCACCAATCAGCACCTGCCGTACGGAATCGTAATTGTTCTCACGGGCTTTCTGATTCCGTTCGTTGCCATCTTGGTGTTCTATGCCAGGATCATCCACACCTTGAGAATGTCCATGAGGGCTGCCGGGTCGAACGTGCAAGCGGGGTCGGCCATCAATCGGAGAAAGGCCGTCTACACCATCGTTGTGGTTCTCACCATATTCGTGATCTGCCACCTGCCGTACAGCACGACCAAATTGGTTTACGTTGTATATGACCGGATGTACGGAGACTGCCAAGCCGCCATCGTTTCCAAATCATACAAGATCACGCGTCCCTTCTGTAGCCTCAACTGTGTGCTCAATCCCCTGCTCTACTTTGTCCCCCGTTCCCGACCAAGGGTGGACAGACCGATCACTCACGTGGAGACCATGCCGGACTGATGACAATCGCTCGGCACCAGGCTCTGCTGGCCCCCGGAAAAGCCCAGTTCTTAGGATTAGCACCAACGCCTGGGTCTGGTTGGATGTACTGTATGTTGAACTTATTTCGCACCGTACGTAGCCAACGGTGCTAATCGTAGGTGCGGGGGGAAAGACAACAAACTTAACACAAAAAGCAGTTCAAAAAAAATGAGTTTTCAATCTAGATTTAAAAGTGCATAACGCCAGTTGCTTCCTAATATCGGAAGGGTATTCCAGACCGCCGCAGAAACCCATCTCCAAAGCATGTGATGCAGTGACCTTCTTTGTTCGATAGTTAGCCAAAAGCCGCTGCTGTGAGGTTGACCGCAGTTTGTGTGAGCTACAAGCTCCATGAGCAATGCGGAAAGCTACGATTTAGCCATGTAGGTCATGGAAATCGTGAATTTAAAAATCATAGAAATGGCTGTAGACCAACACGTTACATTAGCAACTTTTTGTCGTTGTTTGTGAATTCTTGTTTTTTTCTCACGTACCTCGTGAATTTTACAAAAGATTACTGCAACAAAACTGTGGCCTTATTAACGAGCGATGAGGCTCCGTGTTCTTGGTCTCTCCTGCGTGTCAGCAAGCTATCTTAAAAAAAAAAGTGTTTATTTATGAAGTTTAAATATTCACCACTATCATTACCAGCGTTTATTTTGTTTTATCCACCGCTTGATGAAATCCTTCCCCATGCCATCATCATCATCCCTCAGTGTCACACGATATAAGAAGTCATCTGGCTTGGGCACACGAGTTGATCTCATCGTCATCATCATCACCATCATCATCCCCATCATTGTCATCACCACCATCACGGCCTTCCCTCCTTCGACCGCCACTCTGCCGTTAGTCTTGACCACCGGTGATCATCGCTTCTCGTGCCACATGATTCCCAAGCCCACTTTCCTTGACGGGCAGGACGATCTTCTTGGTTCTTTCGGTAAAGTCACGTAGAAGGGAAATAATAAAATAATAAAAATAAAACATAATTAAATAATTATCACGACGTTTCGGCCACAACGCAAGCAGCCGTCCTCAGGTGAAGAACAGGTTTGTCGGGAAGACAGCGTCTGAATGAAACACCCCAGGCTTGGAGCGTATATTTAAGCTGGGTTGGAGGGGGAAGAGCGCCTTGACAAAAGAATGTGCATATCAAGAGGAATTTAGCATATTTATGGGCAATGCAGATATGGGATTAGTCACTACTTGTGAAATGCGTAGGAGGTGTGCGGGGGGTTTCAAAGTCATATTATGTCCGTGCATTATGCAGGATTAGCAGCATCAAAGGGAGGGGATAGGGGTAACATTAATAAAGGGAAGGCGTGTTAATAGTATGTAGCTGTCAGGACGATGCCACTACCTGGTGTATGTTCTCACCTGTTGCACTTCCTGGCCCTCAGTGATCGTGTGTGCACTTTTTCAGATTTATTTTTTGTTGCTCCATTTCCCTCGGGTCAAATTAGGTACATTAGGTACATGTAAGGCTAATGAATCTTTGTGAAAAAGGTTTCAGTTTTGTTTGGCAGAAAAAATGGGGAAAACCCTATTATTATATTTTGGTACTGGCAAAGGAGGTCTAATGATGTAGATGCTCACCCCGAGCCCTCATTACTTTGATAGTGACGTTGTCTTTGAGCTGTGGACGCCTTTTGGCGTCCTCTGGTCGAGCACCAATTGGGTCGAGGCTCAAAAGAAAGCTGTCTCTGGTGTGGACCAATCAGTTTCAAGGACAATGCATTTATTATCATAGTGTGTTTTTGTTTGCATTTGACTGCAAGTATTGTGGTTAATGCAGAGATGAATCCTTGTAAAAAGGTTTCAGTTTTGTTGCCAGAAAAAAATGGGAAAACCCCTATTATTATTTAAGGCTAAGTTAGAATCTATTGTGTCGAATTGTTATTGTAATCGTAATTATTTCATGCAGCCTGGTTTTTTTTCGCGCAAAAGCATTTGGGAGGTGGAGCTGAGCGTGTGACGTATGTACGTTGAACTTCTAATTGGAGGCGATGCGTCGGTTGCACATGTATCCCCATTTAACGATGACCTCTGATCCCTGACTTCCAGGAGTCAGCCCAGGTTAAGATCTACGGCACGGCTTGGTAACTGTGCCCGTGGGCTGAGCTGTCAACCTCGCTTCGTATAGGTTCACCACTGGAGAACTGACATGACCTGGAGAGATCATCAATATTCAAATTAGGGACCGTCCATAAATGACGTCACGCACTTAAGGGGGGCGGGTTGAGAAATGTGACGATGTGTGATGAGGGGGGGGGGGTGAGAAATGTGACGTCACATGAAAAAAAATGCGCAACTTTAACAACACGTTCTACTTAATTAAATAATAAATGATTCCCCCTACAACATTAGAGTGCAGCGCCATATTAAATACGCACTACAATGACAATCGTTTAAAGCGATTTGAAGCATGTTTTATTTACAAAATGGAAAAATGGTTTGGGGGGGGGCAGAGCTTTGTGACGTCATATTTGAGGGAGGGTCTGACTTTTTGTGACGCCGTGTGACGAAGGGGGGGGGGGTGGGTCCAAAATCGTCCAAAATCGCGTGACGTCATTTATGGACGGCCCCTTACACGTAATTTAAATGTTGAAGTTCATTACATTGGTAATTGATATAACTTACACACCTCAAATTAATTGGTAGCTTGTATCTAAATTACGTGTGATGGAGACTAGGCTCTAAGAAAAGCTGTCTCGGGTGTGGACCAATCAACTTCAAGGACAGTGCATATCATTATCATCATCAGAGTTGTTTTTTTTGCATTTTGACTGCTTGTGTTGTGGTTATTGCAAACATGATGCCTTGTATAAAGGTGTCAGTTTTTGTACCAGTTGAAAGGGTAAAAACCTATTACTACGTGTGATTAAAATACGTAATTTAATCAGGTGTGTAATTGGCATATATATTGCAACCCTATCCTTATTTGTAACTTGCATCTAAGCAGAATGTGACACGGTTAATTGGAAAGTATCACCTACGTTACATTACTCCACTAATTTGCAACATTTACGTATTTGGCCCGTGCCAGGGATGGCCCCTGGTAAACGTGGACTCGTGGGCTCCAACTGGTCCCGGCACCACGAGCCACAGCCCCAGTTGGCAGTGGCCATGGACAGGAGGCGTCAAACATCGGCTCTTTCTTTTTACGTTTAAAAACTTAACTCCACAAAGTGTACCGATTATCTAATCCGCAAATGTGTATCGATTAACTAATCCGCAAATGTGTACCGATTATCTATTCCGCAAATGTGTACCGATTATCTATTCCGCAAATGTGCACCGATTATCTAATCCGCAAATGTGTAGCGATTATCTATTCCGCAAATATGTACCGCTTATCTATTTCACAAACGTGTACCGATAATCTATTACACAAACATGTACCGATTTTCTATCACACAAACATGTACCGATTTTCTATTACACAAACATGTACCGATTTTCTATCACACAAACATTTACCGATCATCCATTCCGCAAATGTGTACCGATTGTGCTCTCGGTCTCCTCTTCACGAGATGAAGAATCCCTGCAGTATGGGGCAGTATCTTTGCCACCCGCTCTGCCATCAAGGGCAACGCCCGTCACGTGACGAACCTACACACTTGATTTTTAGAGCTGGGGATTTATCCAAATTATTTGCAAAACCAAATGTTGGGCGATGTGTTTGTTCTAGATTTTAAGTCTTCGTGACCGCAATGATCCATACTCTTTGGTTCTTTCGATAAAGTCACGTAGGTGAAAATAAAAAAAAATAATAAAAAGTAATAAAATTAAATGAAAATAACTAAATTAAATCACGACGTTTTGGAAGCAACACAAGCCTCCGTCATCAGGTAGGACAGCCACAGCAAGGAATCATTTGAAAATTATTTCGTCGTGATTTTATTAAGTTATTTTAATTTGTATTTTATTTTTATTGTTTTATTATTTTTTATTATTATTTTCATTTTCACCTACGTGACTTTACTGATGTGTTTGTTGCGCAAAGTCATTGCAGACAGGGTTGAGACGATCAGCTCGCTACACTTGAGAACCCAGCTTAATCACGTGCGGACGAACCCCGACTCAAACCCGAAAAATCCCAGTGGTGGCAGCTCAAGACTTGGCCATGGAGTACTCGCCAATTTCTCTTGTAGCTCCGCCCACCACCCCCACATTCCATTCCCTGGTTACCACATTCAGATAAGCCCCTCCCCCCTTAACTTGTATTTAAGGGCTGGTCTTTTGGAATTTTCCTCACTTGATGCAGTAATTTTAGCTGTGACGGTCCCACCTGATGACGGAGACTTGTGTTGCCTCCGAAACGTCGTGATTTATTATTTTATGTTATTTCCATTATTACTTTTATTAACTTTTATTTTATTTTTTACTTACGTGACTTTTACCGACAAAACCTAAGAGTATGTACTCGCCCACTTGCTCAGAATCACCTCGGAATGATGTATGTGTATGTTGAATTTTTTTCCCACCGTACGTAGCCAACTGTGATCATTGGAGGCGCGGGGGAAGGGCAACGAACTAAACACATAAAGCAGTTCTAAAAAAAATAGTTTTCAAACTAGATGATTTAAAAGTGGACAGCTCCACTGACTTCCTAATATCGGAAGGAAGAGCGTTCCAGACGGCCGCAGAAGCATATTTGAAAGCACGCGATGCGGTGACCACCGTTTTTGTTCGATGGCCGGCCAAAGCCGCTGCGGCGAGGATGAGCGGAGTTCGCGTGATGATGGTTCATGCTCCTTGACGCCGGATCTCCATCGGAATATATCGCTCGCCGACAGCCGTGTGTCAAATCGTCACCACGTGGCTTCTCCTGAAGACGGCCACTGGCTCAGCCGGCAACCTCAACATGAGCACACGAACATTGGATGATCAACTGCCCGCAAATGAAAGTCTACGACGATTAAAATATGCAGCCAGAATTTGCCAAAGACTGAAACATTTCATTTTGAATA